TTGGCTATAGGCTCGGGAATTAAGTCGACGTGAACAGGTGGTGTTTGACAATGAGAGCCGGCCTGATCTGAATATAGCCTCCTTCGCAGACTTGTAGGGCGGCGGTGTTATTTTTTTCGGTGAGCGACGCGAGTTATTCCGCGGAGGGACGATTTTGCCGCTGAGCCTGAGGGAGTTTTGCCGGGAGAGACGGTTCCGCGCCCCCAACAAGTCTTATATATATGGATTCTAGAGGGTTCTACGTCTCTGAAATGTCATATCATGAGTTTTGGGGAGACATATGGCCACATGTGAACAGCGGCTTGCAGGGTCAGTCGGTAGAAAGAGATGTCCTACTGGCCTGCCAAGTCGGTGCTTACATGGGCAGATAACACAGGACTCTCGATGATTAAGTATCCTAGAATTTCCAATGTCAGGCATTTTAGGAACAGCAACTTGCTGGAATTTGCTATGAACGCTTCTCACAGACAAAGTTCCAGCTGTTGAATTCGATTTCGCAAGACGTTACGGAATTTGTAATGACTAATGTGTGGTTTTGTAATTTCCGTGCTTTCTAGGAATGACAATCATTTGTCAAGCACGTGCACAGATGTTAATAGTTTTCCCGGGCAGTTCGAAATGACTACATTTCCCATCGCTAATCGTTAACGTCGTCTCACTCAAGAAATGTGCCAACTTCTCCGATACGACATTAATACACATATCTATGCTTCCTGTCGTCCAAAAAGGGGAGTAGAGTAACAGTGAGGTTCAAACGCCATTCCAGCGGGTCCGGACCGTTTTGGAGTACACGTACACCGTCATTAGCGCGCTGGTACTTAGTATTTCTACTCGCTCTTAGTTGTTTCGTATTCAGTGTATACGTTCGGACTTTCAGTTTTTATTGACTCTTGATCCGAAATCTCAGTGTACAAACTTCGACACTCGGGTAACGTAGCTTCCGGAAGTTGAAAAACAACGCCACCCGACATTCCACCTGCTGAATGTCTGGATTGTGTGAGGAGAGAACTCTGCTCATTTGTCAATAGGAACTTGGAAACGCAGTTGGTAGTGTTTATGTTCCCAACTGGCTTTCTATGTTCTTGTTGGAATGGGTGACTTGCATCGCTGTTAAAGTTCAGCTGAGTCAGCAGTTTCGCTCCCGATAACACACTATCAGTGACTGCACCAATTTTGATATATATTTTTGCCGATTTGTAGCAAAAGTAACCGACGTGAATAAAAGTATGGCACTTTACCTGTGCTTTTTTTTGTTACAGTCAACATAATGAAGAATACCGAAAATATTTGCGCAGACGCATATTTGCATCAACATATAACGTTTACGTTAGGCCATGTTGATTTGATTATATGGATGACATCCGCGCGCGCATGAATTTTCGGCCGTTTCCACAAAAAAAAAAGTTTCCAACCACACTGTAAATTGTACAAAACAGTTGCAAAATGAGCAAATATATACCGAAAGTTGCAAAAAAATATTTGAAAACGATTCCAACGTCGTAGAATGCCAAAATCACACAAAAAACTAAAATGAAAAGAAATGAATTTAAAGAGTAGATTATTCGCCATACCATACTCTGTGTCTTATGTTCGACCTTCATAACAACGTAGATTTCATGAAAGCAACTTTTTTTTTTGCAAAACTTTTTTTTTATTCGCGCGCTCGCATCAGTTTTGGGGTTCCCAGAGGATGTCATCCATATAATCAAATCAACATGGCCTTACATGATGGAAGGATGCCGACTAATATATAACGTTAGAGGGCGCTTTTCAGTGTACTAACTTGTTGTACACTGTATGTATATAGTATGAAAGCGCTTCCTTGGCTCGATCATAATACCGATACGAATATTGTCAGAACACTATATTATATCGTTTTGAATAAAATCCCTAACAAAGACAAACCAATACAAATATTGAATTTACAGGCAATACTGCTGTTCCCAGTTTTGGACTCTTCCACTGTGTCGCTTGTTACATCCGGGTACTTCACGGCCAGCTCCACGTGATCAAACTGCGGTGCAGGGAGATGAGATGGCAGCCACTATGGACGCGAGCTCTCAGCTACCAAACGGCGATGTTAAACAGGTAAAAACGGACGACGATCTCTCAGAATGTGCATAAATACACACAGCAAGTATCCTTTGTGATGATGAGTCCGCATTAGACGTATTTTGATTGTAAATCGTGCAATATTTAACTGCTGTTCCCCTCGTCTTTCAGAGCACTGCGTGTCCGCCATTTTTTCTCGCCTAATGATTCGTGTGAAGAGAAG